ATATATATATATATATATATATATATATATATATATATATATATATAGATAGATAGATAAATATTTAGATAAATCTCATTTACATCCAACCTCTATGCAAACTGCTGCTCTAGTTTCCTTTCACACCCCAATAAAAATAAAAAGATATTTGCTCAAACAGCAACACACAATATTGTTGCAAATGTTTTCAAGGAAAAACCCACTGTACCATCAGATTAAAAAAAATACTTGGTGCATTCCCAGCATCATCCCTCCTACACAGAGTCAGAGCACTACAAATAAGCTTTTCTTGGTTTGCCAGCTGCTGGTCTTTCTGTCCTTTCCGTAAAAATATCAGTCCATATCTCAACAACTTAAAAAAAACAGATTAAAAGAAAATCCTAAATATTCACAGTATGAAAACAAACCAGTGACATTAAATATGTATTTATTTTTATGCTGGTAGTGCTTCCATATGCAACATGCAAACCAAAATGGAAAGTTTCATCACTGTAGTGAGGGTTTCAACATTTAAAGAAAAAACAGATCAAATTAGGCCACTGTTGTCTCATTTATTCTGCAGATTCATAACTTCAGGCCCTGTTGCTGTTTTGAAGTCTCAGTTAACTTTAAGATCTTTATTAAATTAGATATTTTTGGCTTCAATAACACCCCGGTCCAGGGGCCTTTCTGGGTGGAGTTTGCATGTTCTCTCCGTGCATGCGTGGGTTTTCTCCGGGTACTCCGGTTTCCTCCCACAGTCCAAAAACATGCATGTTAGGCTGATTGGTAACTCTAAATTGTCCCTAGGTGTGAGTGAGAGAGTGAATGTTTGTTTGTCTCGTTTGTCTCTATGTGTCCCTGTGATGGACTTGCGACCCGTCCAGGGTGTACCCCGCCCCTCGCACAGTGATTGCTGGACATGGTCACCAGCGACCCCCGTGACCCAAAATGGAATAAGCGGGAAAAGAAAATGGATGGGTGGATGGATGGCTTCAATAACTTCCACCAGTTTTTTGGGGGGTTATATTTCTCAAACAGAATGTATGTTTTATAAAAAATAATTAAATTAAAGTCCTAACTACCAATGTAAATGTTAATGGCAGAAAGAGAGAGAGAGATAATTGTAGTGTATGTGAAGAAGTTATTTTTCATATTTTTGAAATCCCACAGTGTGTGACCAGCATGAGTCAGCCAACAACAAAAGAGTCTAATTATACGAAAAAACAAAGAGTGAAACTTTTTTTTTCCTCATTTGAGAAAAAAAAAACAAAATATAAATGATAAATAAATGTATGTATTTATTTATTTATTTATTTATTTATGTTCCTATGTCACAAGAATGACCCTTTTCTCTGTGCGTGTGAATTGTAAATGGGCAGAGGGATGCACTGTGTGTCATTGATCAGTGGTTAGCCTGAACTGACAGTAGGGTTCAGGCTGAACATGGTTCACTGAGTTCTGTAAATGTCTCTGCGGTAAACACGTTGAATCAAAAAATTGGTTTTTATCACAGGGATTATGGTACAAATGTATGACATGCCAGATGGTGGTTTATTTTTTTTTCCTTCTATCAAATATCCATCCATTCATTATATTTAACCACCTCTTCCTTTCTGGGTCACAGGGGTCATTGGTGCTCATATGCAGCAGTCGCTGTGTGAGAGGCGAGGGACATCCTGGACAGGTCTCATGTCCATCACAGGGACACATAGAGACAAGCGAGACAAACAACCATTCTCTCACTCACACCTAGGGACAATTTAGAGTTACCAATCAGCCTAACATGCATGTTTTTGTTCTGTGGAAGGAAACTGGAGTACCTGGAGAAAACTCATGCATGCATGGAGAAAACATGCAAACTCCACCCAGAAATTCAATTCGGTGACCGTCTTGGCAAAAGCTTTACCAACTGAACCTTCTAGCAAATATCAAACAAATATTTACATTTACTTAATATTCTATTCTATTCATTTCAAAGTAGGTTTAGTTTTAATATTGATAGAGATTTTAAGCACACTGATTTTTTTTTTTGTTCATTTGTTTTAGGAATCACTTCAATCACTTCCTCACAGATGTTGAGCTCTCCTGTATAATTAGGCTTAAAGGTAACATGTGCTCCCTGTAGTAGTGTTCAACCATGTTTAAAAAATCCATGATGTTAATTTTAATAGATCCCTGGACTTCAACCTGTTGATTATTAGAAGTTAATCAATATAAACGGCTGTTGCCATGAACTACAACAGATGAAAACAGATTGAAACAATTTGGAATTACTGCTGAAAACAAATGCGGATACATTCCTGCAGCTCACAGCACAGACATCAGGCTGTTAGGTCTAAATAAATGCATCTTCTTTTTCTTTAAATGTGATGTTTTAAAACTTTCAATTTCATTCATGGTTTTATTCGAGAAACTGTGGATGAGTGGTTAGAGCAGTCGTCATCCAATGCAAGAGCTGGGGGTTCAATTCCACCCTCATTGCCTCCGATGTGTGTCCCATCGGTGTATGAATGTGATAAAGCACTGGTTATTATTTGTAGAGATCTAGTAGAGTGTTGTACTAATGAGTAAATGAAGGCACAGACTCTAGTGTAAAGAGCTTTGAGTATCTTGATAAGATAGAAAGGTACTATATAAGTAAAGTCCATTTTACTATTTTATTCCAGTATTTTCTCTAAGATTTAAACATTGTAGACAATAACTTCCCATGTCGTAGAGTTTGTGTCAGTAGCCAATACTGTATTTTCATTTATAAAATATTTATAATAGTCCCTCGCTACTTCGCGGTTCGTGTTTTGCGGACTCGCTCTATTGCAGTTTTTCAAAATACTATTGGACATAACACACTATTCGCTGATTGATGAATGAGCCACACGAACGGCATGGAATTTTTATTTAAAAAAATATATATTTTAAATGACTTAGCACCTGCTGCACCTGTGTGCAGCCCACAGCTGCAAGAGAAACTTCCTCCTGCAGCATGTCATGTCTCTGCTCTGCAGAGGGAAAGTGGGCGTGTCCAAGAGCGCAGGCAGATGGCAGATAACTGAAATCATGACATGCTGTGCTCTTTTAGAACATTTAGAGTTTAGAAACCTTGTATAGAATATTGCAAGAGTGTGGGAAGGGTTTAAAACACACACACACACATACATATATATATATATATATATATATATATATATATATATATATATATA